ATGGATCTCCAAGAACTCGAGTTTTGAGTAAGAAGAAGGTTTTGGTAACCCTCATCCCATAATCCGGACCTTATCATTGTCAGATGCCCTTGTAGTTATAGTCCTAATTCTGGAAGGTTGACGTTATTCAAATCCTCTTCTTATTGAGCAGTCTCTGCGTTTGCGCTCTGCCAAACGTCTTTTTCCTCAAGCGAAGCAAGCGCAGCAGCTGCCATCTACTTGGGGTCCACGGTAGCTATGACCACCTCTAATACGTCGTGTTGTGCCTAGCACAAGCGCTCGTGGAGGTTCATTGGTAATTCGCTCCACGACTTGTAGGCATAGATACCCTCCCCCTGACCGCAGCTACAACCGCCCATGAACCTCCAACTATTGACTAGGTTCCCCAGTAAACCCTAAATCATAAAGGTACCCCTTTTCCTACACTCAGCTGTAATAAAGAGACCCCCAAATACAAAGGGGAAAAGGGTACTACTGGGGTACCTAGTTGAACCCTCTGGCGCTACTGGTAACCTTTGGCTTGCAAGTTGAAGAGTCGCGCATAGGTGCCCCCCAGCTCCAAGAGCTCTTCATGGGCTCCAAACTTCTCGATGACACCGTTATTCCTGAGTAAAGGCGTGTAAGGCTTGGGATATGGGAGTTTCCCAAAATGGGGGGGGGGGGCGCAATAATACAGACCCCAAAATACTATCACCCTTATTATACGGACCCCCAAAATGGTACCCTTAATTTTGGGAAACCCCCTTATAGGGTACAGGTAGAGTCCCTAAACCCTAAATCTTAAACCCTAAGTAATTAATCAAGTACGAGTCCTTCAAGGTTTTAGTGTTTCGGTTGCAAGGCAGCCTCCCTACGAGAACAGGTCCACCTCAACCACATCAATAGGATTTTAGGGCGTTCGTTGCCACAGGCTTGGGAAACCCTAAAGCCTAAACCCCCTAAACCAATTCTTGATACTGCCACATTCCTTCCACACGGGATGTCCCGCACTCCGAACATGAGACTCTGGAGGTCTAAAACTCGGGGGAGGGGGGTAAGGGAGAGGGGGGGCTTAGGGTTTTAGGGTTTAGGGCTTATCAGGACTCCCTTCTAGGCCCCTAGGCTCACAGCTTTTTGAAGCTAAAGTTGGCCCAATGGCCCTGGGCTAAGGAAAACCCTAAACCCTAAATAGTAGTTTCTATTTTATTTTCCATTCTTACTATATAACCCCAATATACTATGGTAGTTTCCATTTGATTTTCCATTATCCCATTATACCCTAATAAGGATCCTTGCAAGGTATATGAGGCTGTCTTGGAACCAGGACCCCGATCCTAAGCACACTGTAGCCGGACAGTAATTAACCACACCGCCCACTCGAGCTATGGTCTAAACTCCTCCAAGGGGGTATGTATAGGGGATTTGATTTGGGAGTATTGTAGGGGTTCTTAAGGGGGATGTTAGGAGTTTAGACTATAGCTCACACAAGCACTGTAAACGCGACCTCGCAATCAACTCTATCTGCTTTCGAACCCTGGTAGAAGCGCAGTTTAGCTGCTGAATGCCCTGTAGCAAGTACCAACGGGACAACATTTTCAGGAAATCCTTTCACAGCCCTAGCACAATGGCACCCCCCGGAAGCAGGTTTGTTCAGTGAGCCACCAGGAAACTACACTCCTGCGGGATCACTGGCAGTAAGTTTGTAAGCCAGCAAAACAAGCAAAATAAGAACGTATGCAACTGAAACCCCTCAACCTAAACCCTGAACCCCGAAACCGCAAACCGAAACTCCAACAAATTAGGTGCCCAGAGTCAGGACTGCAATAGTGTCCTGGAATGCTGGGGGACCAACTGCCCGGGAGTTTTTGAAAGATACTTCCAGGTGGGGAGGTGCCAGGTGGGTACTGTAATCCACTCTTTTACAAGCAGTCTATGAACCGTGTGGGGGGCAATCCCCACATGAGCTAGAGTCTCAACTCCTGGCATCCTCTGTAATAGCCCCTACAGTAGTCCCCCATATAGCCCCCTATATAAGCCCCTTTGAAGTTTAGACTATAGCTCACACGAAGCCCTGTACCTCAAGCTTGGGGATTCTGGGAGCCTACCTCGGCTTCGAGGCCAGGGTTGTGGGTGTGGATTCAGGGTTAAAGGTTGGGGTTTGGGGTTCAAGCTTGGGTGTGGATTTAAGGGGTTAAGAGTTTAGCATTTAGGGTTTGGGATTTGGGCTCAGGTCTTCCCTACTCAGACACCCCAACAGACACTACCCAAAGAAAGTTGCCATCCACCAAACAATGAATCTAGCCTTTTTCTAAGACTGGACACTTCTGAGCATTTGAAGTCTCTTGCACGCTGTACGGAATACCTCTTAAAAAGTAAGGGGAACTCCCCCAAAAGGGGCTGGGCTCCTGGTTTTTCAAGCCCTCAACACAAAATCGCAACTGCGGGCCCGGTTCAGCCATCCGGACCGTCGAAAAGCGATGGCTGATGAGCAAAGCACTCCTCACTGATTTGGGGATTTCCCAAAATTAAGGGTACCCTTTTGGGGATTCCCATAATAAGGACTATTGTATTTTGGGGTCTATATTGGGGTCCTCCTATTTAGGGAAACTACCATTTGTGCTTGCTAGGGAAGAGGGACTGCGTCACGCAGGGTTTAGGATTCAGGGTTCAGAAAAAAAATTGTACTCTGGGCATTTTGGAGTAGTTAGGAGCTCATACTGGGCTTCTTCCTGATTACCGACTTTGAAGCACGTAGCCCTTACGTGCATGGACTCGTTTGGGGACATCTCATAAACGGTTGGATTACTTTCTGCACAGGCATTTAGAATAGAAGTCATTTAGGGGCTGTATGCGGAGGGTTCATTTTTGAAATATGCCCATGCAATCCTTGGTCCCTCCTCTTGTAAACTAACCTTCCTTTCCTTAAGCTACACTATTGTGCAACAAATGCTTTCATGACGAGGGTGTTTGATTCATGCATGTTTGTGGAGAAAACAAGTTGCGGTGGAGAGTTTGCGTGCATTTGGAAGCGTTGCCGCGCCAGGCACAGGCTTTGGATAAGGCTGTCCCGTGTAGCCTCCGTTTTGGCAGGACACAGCCCTATCAGCTATGAAGCAATTAAGACAAAGGGAGGTCACACATGGTTGCGTGTGCCCTGCTCTACCCGGGACCTGGGAAAGGCAGGCATGATTTTGACAACCATCCACTGGTCCATGATGCCACCCCAAAATGCTCCCCTCCGGAAACGGAAAAAAACTGCCCAAGCACTGAATCCCAAATCCTGCTAACCCCATCAAAATCCCTTGCCCGGGCCTTCAGCCTTTGCTGCTACTGCTACTACTGCTGCTACTACAACTACTACCACCACCGCCATCACCATTAATTCAAACTGCTGTTGTCATTGCTCTTTCTACCACCATTATCATTGCCAGTTCTATTATCAGTACGATTTCTGTTATCCTTCCCATTACTACCGATACCAGCTGCCGGGGTTCTGGTCAGCAGACAGTGAAGCCAAGCGTTCGAAAATTGCGGCTTCAGCCTCTTTGTGGGTTCTCCAGGGCTTACATGAAGCTTGTACAAGGCCTATATGGGGAGACTACGACGACGCATACGCAATGTAAGAGGTATGTGGGGGAAACTACTCACCTGAAAGCCCCTTAGACTCTCCTACCTGGTGCGTAATTGTGAATACAGGACGGACTTTCTCTGGTAGTTTTTTTGCAATCCCCCGTGAGCCTGTAATAACCGCCATAAGCCATTTCGCTATTGCCTACTAAGCTGCACGCGGATTCTACAGGAGACAGTATGGAGTCTAAGAATCATACTACGATCAGGGTTTCTCAGCAATCGAGGTACTAAGCATGTCTCCCAAGTAATGTGCAACGCAGGAAATGCATATTGAGGGCTGGGGGGAAGCAATGCTCAGAAACTGTTGGTGATTGGGAAGCAAGGGTTACCGAACCCCTCACACCAACCCTGCCAGAACATGTTGTCTTTGGAATGATGCAAAGACACAGGCACACCGAAATCGCGCTTATAGACGTGAGGAATTCAGAATCACAGGGGTAGACAAGTATCCGGGGAGATAGTTCTGCAGTAGCTTCCAAGCGTTGAAGGGCATGCGTTGGGACATCATGAAACCTCAGTGGCAAGGATTTAGCCACATCGGGCTGCATATTCTGAAGTTGGGGCAGCAGCATTCGGAGGACTTATCGGTTGAACTTCCAAAATTTGTGTTTAGGGTTTTGGGGGCCGTGCGTGATGGCTTGCGTTGTTAGATGTCGGCGCCCTCAATCCTAAGCAAAGGCAGGGCACGTCTAGTTCCAGCTGTAAGGGGTTCCTGAGGGCCAGATAACTCCTTGTTGCCAAATAGGAGCTCAACAAGGCAGATTTTGTAGGGTTTAGGGTTGACGTTGTAGGTGTGTGTGGTAGGCAACCTCAGAATAGTTGATGCCTTCTTTCTCGCTGAAGACCCGAATATCCAAAACATCGCAAATGCACCCTTTAAACCCTGAACCTTATCCCTTCTCAAAGCCTCGGCATCCATTGCTGCAGTAGGCTCATCCAGGACCAAAAGGTCAGCCTTTTCCTGGATGTACAGCGTCGTGATGAAGGAAGTTTTCTACCGATTTTCTTTGGGCTTGCTCTGGGCCTGACAACCTCATATCATGCTAGCAGAACATTCGTTGCATATCTCGAGCCTGTGTTTTGCCTTTCGTTGTCAGCTTTCATGGAAACATCAGCATTGGCGGTGTGGGGTGTTAAAGCCATCTTGCGAGACAAACTTGATGAAGCAGCATTTGAGACTCACTGGTTCAAACCTCTCATGCCAGCGATGGTAATCAGCGCTTTAGACTTTCAGCTCCAGAAAGACCACACACCGACACAGCGCCAGATTTCCTAACCCAGTATAGTAGTTTCCATTTTCTTTGTATTCCTTCATCCCCAGCTAACCAAAGGTAAGCACATGCCCTGAAACCTCAACCCTAAACCCAAAATCCTAAACCGAGCCTAGATTCCCGCATCAGGGCGCGACTTAAGGCAACCTTCTGCCATTGACCACCACTGAGCTCTCGCCCACGCATAAACAGATTCCCGAGCTGCGTCTGATACTTCCTGAGCCAGCGAAAAGGGTCTAGCTAGGGTTTAAGGTGAAGGGTTCAGGTTCAGGGTTTAGGGTTCAGGGTTTAGGGGGCGTCAGTAAATGTCGGACTTCCATGGCGTCTGATATTTCCTCAGCTGAGTGAGCCCATGTCAGCAACAAGGTCTTTCTGTTTAGGGACGCTGCCGCAATTCCGTGCGTAGGACTTCCTTCCGGAACTTAGCCGTTCAGAGCCCGTTCAGGGTATGACCCGCTCCCCCCCTATGCTGGCCAAGTTGTGATAGGACTCGCGGACTGTGTGAGAATCTCTTCATTCTACTGCTGGGCTATTGAAGTCGTGTAGCTGAAGCTTGAACCTCCAACCCTTTTGTAGATGCCCACAATTACCAGCACTATGAACGTATCATCCTGATACTATAAACACATTGTACAGCCGTGCCCGTTTCATCCTCCATTTGCTTCCCCACTCAATCTGGAATAAACCCTGTGAACCTTTGCAGTTTTAGCTTCTGTGGCCACTCCTCGATGAAAGGCGCCGCCATGCCGCGATCCTAGGTTGCGCTAGGGAAAATGGTACTACAAAGGGTTCCTTTCAAGAGGACTTTAATTTGCACATCATATCTTAAGGTTACTTCATTTGAACTATGGTCTAAACTCCTAGTATACCCCTGAATGTCCCCCGATCATACTCCCCTGTATAATCCCCGATAGAACCCCTCTCTTAAGGAGCTTATACTATAGCTCATATACACCCTAATTCCTATAAACTACCCTATGATCCCAGTTTACCTTCTTTTCCATTTGATTCTCCATTACTACGGGATGATATCCCTATACGAACCCCAAAGAATCCTCTTTAAGGAGCTTAGACTATAGCTAACCCTAACCCCTAAACCGCATTTAAGCTCATTAATGGCAACCCAGGGTCTGCAGCCCGCGCGACACGGGGCTCCTCGTCGATGGCGTCGATATCACCCACACCTGGGGCAGATGGTGAGGCGGATCACTGTTATTATTACTACCCATATTACCGCACCTAGATATGTACATATACATGTATATACGTATCTATAGACATATGCGTGTATGTTTCTGACTACTTTGTGGTCGGAGGAAATCTTGCACCATCAAATATACCCTATACCCGTAGAATTGCAGCAGTTAGGGGATCCCAAGTGGTGCAAGATTGCCTCCATCCACCGTACCATTGGTACTATATACCTATATATGTATATATACATACATATATATAATATCTATATATGATATATATTTATGATACATATATGTATACATATGATATATATATATGTATATGTATACACACGCATATACCCATTGTCAAAGAGAGCTTCAGGTGGGCAATTATCACGTGGGTTGGGGGAGGACAACATAAGACAAAGCTCATATAACTACCCAACACCCGTATGCGAGATTTTTATGAACCTTCCATGGAGGTTACGCACCTGGTAACTACCCACCTGGAACTGTTCTCGCTTTACCCTAAACCCTGTGAACCCTTGGTTAGTTGGTTATGGAACCCACAGGCTGCTCCTGTGCCTTTTTGTTTAGTAGTTCCTTACTCGGCAGGATATAGGAACTTCTGAGAGCAAAGGATCCAAAAGCCGTTCTCAGACAGTTTGGCGTTGATACCCAACAAGTTGTTTCGACGTGAAACAAGGTAAGTCATACAGTATTTGCTAGATAGAACATATGAGCCACAATCTAAACTCCTTCAAGGGGGTTATACAGGGGATTATATAGAGGACTACTAGATGGAAAACAAAGGGGATAATAGGAATTTAGATTGGAGCTCATGGGGGATACTAGGAGTTTGGACTATAACTCATATGCTAAATTTTCAAGACGCCCCTTCTGCCAAAAGAAGAGCTTACTCCTGATAAGGACAAAGGCGCGCGCGCGCACGCACACACACACACACACACACATTTCAGATTTTCCAAGTCTCCAAGACTTTGGTATGGAGGGGGTCCCAACCCAACAGCTACCACTTTTGGGCAATCCTGCGAAACCCTAAACCCTAAATCGTCTAATTCTACCTTTGAAAACACAACTGCTGAAGCGGCACTTGTTTGAACCCCCTGACGTGTGCTCATATCCTGTTTGCAACTCCCAGATTAAGGGCCCACGATTTCGAAACTTCCTCACATGATTTGCAGGTTCATGGTGACTCATGCCTTATGTTCACAAAACTTCTAGCCTTCTCCTCGCAAGCTCCTGGAGCTTGAGCAGCGCAGCAACATTCAGATTCTTTGCATGACCCTGAACCCTAAACCCCTAAACCCTCAACCTACCACCCGAAAGAACTGCTTTACTATTAGGACGACCTCAATACACCGTCAGATCAACTTCTCCCTGGCACCTACGTTTGCGCCCACCGTGAGCTCGTAGCGTATGAAGTCCTGGAAGATTGCTCCAATCCGCTTCTTCAAGGCGTCTGACGACCACTCCGTCAAGTCCAGGCCATCTAACAGGATCTTCCCCTTGCCTTGGTCCACATGAGCTATAGTCTAAACTCCTAGTATCCCCGTAAAAACCCCTTTTAGTACTTTCCTGTAGATTCCCCCATATAAGCCCACTTGAAGGAGTTTAGACTAGGGCTCACATAAAAACAGGGATCGATTGAGACCACGGGGAGCGTCACATACCCCAACATAAGAGGAACCCTTCTTGCGAAACACTCGAGTATCGGACTTTGCTATGTGGAGGGTAACCTCCCTTTGCAAATTTCGAAATAACAAGGTTCTTACCTTCTTTGGGGGTTTGATTGAGAGTCAGCCTCATGTTCGGTAAAGGATTGCGGGTAAGCTCTGTGAATGTGGCTTTGGATATGTTATGGATGTTATTCTCACTGCAAAGCAAACCTGCCCTGCATCCCACAACATGATCACCCCGGGCAGACAAGCCACAATTTGGTGCCCACAGCTTGTATGAAGCCCGCAGCAGTTGGTTCGTCCACAAGAAACACAACCCCCTACCCAGACCCCTGGGCGGATGTAGCAGGTAGATCTCCCTTAAGGGTTCCCAGACCCAAGAGTAGTATAGGGTACCATATTAAGGGTTCTCTACTTTTTAGATCCTCCCAGGGGTCTGGGTACATAGCTGGAACATCCGCCAAGTTCTATCAGCAGTCTTTACAACCTGGAGGAATCCCTCCGATGCGCGAAAGACACCAGAATGAAACAATAGCAGATTGCAAAATGGTTGTGCCAAACAGGGACAGCTTAGCTTGAGGCGCCCCATGCCCTGACTCCTGAGAACCCTGGCCACCAACATCAAAGCCCGCATAAACCCTACCCAAACCCTTAATAGTAGTTTCCATTTTCTTTTCCATTCTCCCTGTATAACCCCAATATACTATAGTAGTTTCCATTTTGTTTTCCATTCTCCCTTATGTAACCCCAATATACTATAGTAGTTTCCACTTCATTTTCCATTCTCCCAATATAATCCCTATAGATCACAACCGATGGTAGGCAAGGACCGAGATGCTGGGCTGGTACAAGCCTGACAACAGCTTGATCAGCGTTGTTTTCCCCGCGCCGTTGTTGCCCACGAGGGCGAAGCGCGTTCCAGGCGGAATATGAAATGAGACGCCTTTGATGGTGTCCTGCTGCTTCTTGGAAACCCTTGCTTCAAGACCCCGAAGGCCCCCTTCCTTAACATTGCCTTTCAATCCTGAAAGCTGTAAGCACTTCTCTTGGCTCAGGACTGCTCAGTACTGGGAATAACTACCAACCTAAGGGACAACAATCCCGTCCGATAAGAAGACGGGTGTCCCCAACACCCAGACCCCTGTCAGGATCTGGAAAGTAGAATCCCAAATATGGTACCCTATACTACTCTTGGGTAACCTCTAGGAACCCTTTAAGGGGCTGGAAACGACTCCCATGACCAAACCTTGCTTTCCGGTAGTTTCCATGGGGCAAATCTTCTTCTGTCTTACATCCTTGGTGACCAACCTGCTCTTTCAACATAAGCTACAGTCTAAACTCCTAGTATCCCCCTTAATAACCCCTGTACTACTCCCCTACATAATCCCGTATCCACCCCTGTAAGGAGTTGAGCCTGCAGCTTACATGCTATCCCAAGACCCAGCCTAGCCTCAGGGTTCATCTCTTACTCTTTTCAAACACCTTGATATCAGAGCACTTGTAATCTCTCCATACATAGAGAGCCTGCCAAGAACTGCATTGCTGTTGAGGAACTTCATTTAACTTACTATAGTAAAGAAAGCTTATCCTTTACTATATACCCATATCATGGTGACTTAATTTAAGTTCCTAACAGCAACCCAGAGAATTGCTGGTGCATCCCTTGTCCTCAGTGGCACCGGGATAGCGGAACCAAACATCTTCGAAGCGCACGCCGTCGCCGGGACTGGGGCCTTTCTCCTGCCTTTGCTGCTGGTTTGATAGCTTAAGCCCAAGGCTTAGGATGTAGGATTAGGATTTAGGAAATTGGGTCTCGTGCTGTTGATTTGGGATTCAGGGTGGCGTGTTTATTAGTAGAAAAAGGAGAGGAACCTGGTAAGCACAATGCTTCAGTGAGGTACCCTACCCCAAGCAAAAACATGCAAGCTCACATTGCAAATCGACAAGAATCTACACGGGGCGTCTTTTCTCAAGTTCCGTATATATGTATATATCTACAATCCCTATATATCCCCATTATATGCCCTATTACAACATAGCAGTTTCCATTTTCTTTTGCATTATTCCCTGTATAACCCCTATATAACCCGAATATTATGGCAATATAAGTCAGTTCAGGCAAGGGCAAGGAAGTTCTGAAACCGTATTGAGCTCCATGAGCGTAACTGCAAGGCAGGGGATAAGACCTTGTCATCTCAAATGTCTTTCATGGTCTTGTTCGAGCTTATAGGGCTTGGGGGATAGCAGATGAAGGTCCTTGCCTCCACAAATTCGCCTTACTGCGCAGTTTATAAGCTTTTACCTAGGCAGCCCCTCTGTCATGGCTTAGCCGGCGGTTGAGCCCTATGAATCACGCCATACTGCTGTTTGACCCTTGAAACATCAGAGGAAAGCGCTGCATGATCCCTACGTTGCACTTAGGACCCCCACTAAGGGGTAACTCTTAGGTACCTATAACAGGAGTATCAGGGAATCAACAGGGTTAAGGATCTAAGGTCCAAGCTAAGTCCCAAGGAGATCCCAAAGGCCAACTCAAATCATAATACTTCCCAAACCAGAGTCCAGGCTGCGTCCCTTCGCTCTTCTGCACCTTGTAGTCCAAGAATTCCTGGGTTATGCTCGCTTACGGTACTGCCCCCAAAACTCTGCAATATGGGTAATCTGAAGACCTGATATTGATAATGTAGTCATTATTCATCGGCTAGGCTAGTGCATAACCGTACCTGACCTGCGCTTAGACTGACACTGCTTTTCCACCACAAAATGTTCGTGATTTTGGAAGCCCCTAGCCTGAAACTGTCCATGAACCTGCAAGTACACCGAGCACCTTTGGTGTCAACCCTGAAGGTCTAAACCGGGTAGTCAGTAGCGCATCTCCCTGACTTTGGCTTGCCCTCCCTCAAACTGGATCATTATTGGACATGAGCTTGATTTTTCTATCATACCAAAACGCAAATATGGAGGGTTTAGGGTTTAAGGTTTCGGGTATAAGGTCATGATCTCAAATAATATCCCAAGAAGGAACCAGCAAAGTAACATGGAACATTGGGAGGGTCTTCGACCCACCATTGGGAGGGTCTTCGACCCTTTCTTTGCTCGCCAGACCTGTATTCCTATTCAGGTGTAAAGGATTTGAAGGATTTATTGGCGGCTGAACCAAGTAAGATTATTTTCTCCAGCACACTACACTCAACAGGAGGATACAATCTTGCTTACTTGAAGGCTACAGAGCCCCCTTTACAAAGACGACGTACTTGTTTTAACGGGTCTCATGGGATTATGAGGGAGCTTATGTGGAGCTCCACTGTGAAAGCCTCTAGTCTTTTCCCCCCCCACACCCTCCACTTCTGAAACGCAATTGTGCAACACGATCTGACTAGGCCCAGGTTCATAGAGGTTGGACAAGTACAAATTGTCAGCGTACATGCCTCCAATCGCCCGCAGAATTGCTGAGAAAGCCTTGGTTTGGCGGGAAACCTTAAACCATTGGCGGCAAAGCCCTGAGGCCCAGTGTCTTACAACACCTACACACTGAAGACCACAAGGCTATCCAGTGCTCGAAGTGCTTTTTATGCGCCTTTCGTTCATTGTTGATTGTCATGGATCGAACACGCGAATGGCATGTAAGTTTAGACCCCCCCCCCCGCCCGGCCCACATTCCCGCAACATGGCAGTTGCAAACTTACCGCCCTTTTCCACGGTGAGGGCAACTCTCTGGGATTCCTGGAATCAGGAAGGAGTATGCGTTTGGAAATTCTGGAGCGCTAGTCCTAAGACGAGCAATACATTTGTTAGGGTCATCTGTGAAACTCTTTCGGAGCACGGCTATCCTCCTTCACTATGGTTGCAGGGCTAAGGTATGCTTGATTCCGGAGTCTCTCAGACCCGGGGAGCCCTTACGTGTCGCACAACATGAGAACCTTGATGGTAAAGAAATCAAGAAGAGATCTGTACTATGAAAAGAAATCTATGGAAGTTCAATATCCCTCCTCTTTGTTCATGTGTGGGCTTCTCAAAAATGATGGTTCTCTCTCTTCGGGTTCTTTAGCTGGCATTATTCTTTTGGTGATATATGAGGGTTGAGAACTGCATGAGGAATCCGGGCCTTCCAAAGTAAAGCTCCCTCGCATCACCGCTGCAGACAAGCCGGGAGTAGTTTTATGTTGACAAAATGTGGATTAGGAACCTCCCACGTACACGTGAGAAGGTATTGCCCTTACAAGGGCACGCTTCAAGGAAGCTTGGGCACATGCTCAATGGGCCAGCAGCACCAAAAAAGGTCTCAACAACACCCAGGAGGCTTGCTGGCCTTCTTTGAAGATGAGGAGGTACATTGTCCTGGCTGATGGGTTGAGGAAGACTATGAGGGAATGGTAGGTTTGGAAGGGCCGTATAATGAGGAACAACTCCTGCTTCAAGGCTTTTCAGGACAAGGCAAAGAAGTCAGAGCACAAGATGTTCGAAACTCTAGTCTGTTCTCCAAAATCCGAACATATGCTCCAATCAGTACGGAGATGTGTGTGTGTGTGTGTGTGAAGAGCAGAACCCTCCAGATGTCCGAAGCAGAAACAGGCCCATGAACGAAAGAACCTCCCTGCATAGCGCACCCTAAGGGCCGGGAGTCACATCTCCAAATGTCCTCGAACATAGAGAGAAAGCCTCATACATGCAAGAACCTATCCGAACGGTCTTCCATGAAAGCCAGGAGTCATGTCTCCAAGGCTGATGGTCTGGCTAACTGCCGCCATGGCCACCCAAGCGAAAGCCATGTACAGGCCTGCTTTAAAGGGGGGCTGGACACCGGAGTTTTTGGGACTTGCTGTGGGGCCAGTCCCCTTTCGTGCTAAACTACCGGAGTATTGCGCCAATAGTGAAAGAGAGACATCATCTAACACAGGGGAAAAAAGAATCCATGTCTCCAACCAGAAAACTCTTATTCTTACCCATCTCTGCCAACGAGAAGCGGACATCCAAAGACTGGACAGCTGCCCCCAAACCGCTACCGATGCGGGGGGGGGGGGTCAAGGGATCTAACCCTGGAAAACACCCAAACCCTAAGCCTGCGGTGGAGACAAGCTCGAGGAGGAAGCCATAGGATCCTCATGGGATCTTCAGGGTTGCTGTTAAGGAACTCAATTTAAGTTGAATTAAGTTACTATATTATCCCCCTATAATGGAGAATCAAATGGAAAAGAAAATGGAAAATGAAATGGAAACTAGGGGAATGTAGGGATTTAAGGAACTCAATTCAAGTTACTATATTGGGGAAATCCTGTTGATTACTATGTATACCCACTATGGTAACTCAATTTAAGTTCCTTCACTGCAACCCAGGCTTTCAACAGCCAGGAACTGGATTTAGATTCAGGGTGCAAGGTGTAGTGGCACAGGCATAGATCTTAGCTGGCAAGAGGATTTGGATAACTCTAACCGTCCAAGACGAAGACCCCATACAGCATCGAATGTCTCTGGTAGTGCTCTGATATTGGAGGTCGGGTAACGCCCTAAACCCTACTTTTGGAGGTGGGGGGAGCAAAACCCCCCTCATTATCAAGAAGGAGTTTGGAGGTGAAGGAGGCTTGAGAAATATTGGGGTGAATTGTGGGGTTACATGGGGGATATATAGGGGTTATATTAGGGGTTATATAGGGATTATATTGGGGGTTATATACACCAAAGAATCCCATACACAACCACACAGCGCTTTACCATTGACGGTATCTGAACCCTAAACTTCCGAACCGCAGGCCCTACGTAAACCCCAAACCGCCAACCCAACATCTGAAACTCCAAACTTCCAACAACTTAGGGATCTAGTTTAGCAAGCTACCACATTTACACAGTGCTTTACCCAGAAAGCAAGACATACCCTTAATGTCTATTCACCACTGCACTTCGCACCCTACTAAAAGTTAACTTAAAGGTACCTGTAATAGGAATACAGGGGGACCCCAAAAAAGGGAAGGGTCTAAGGTCCTAGCTAAGTGCCAAGGAGTATTGGGGACTAATGTATCTCCCCCTAAACCCTGAGCTGTAAAGCCCAAACCCCTAACCTTTTACCCTGAAGCCTGAACCCTAAACACTATAAACCCTAAACCCCTAAAACCCTAAACCCTAAGCCACAAACTCTGAACCCTAAACCTTAAACCCTAAACCTTCATTTTAAACATACACTCCAAGCTCGAGGATCCCTGTTTCAGCGCCAGGTTCGAGGTGTCTCGGAAGAAGCCGTCGAAGATCTGCCGATACCGCTTCCTGGGTTGCAGTCAAGAAACTTGATTTAGGCTACTATGTGGGGAAAACCAAATAACTAAATAAATAAATAAATATATATATATACATATACATACCCATTCTAGTAACTTAAGCCCTAGACCCTAAAACCCTAAATACCCTAAACCTTAAAAGCCCTAAACCCTAAATACCCTAAACACCCTAAATACCCTAAACCTTAAATACCCACACACATTATGGTAACTCCAATTAAGCTCCTTAACAGCAACCCAGCTTCAGAAGCCATGGGCCCAGCCCAAACAGCTTGACTTCCTCGAGCTGGGTAGGTGTAGGGGTTTAGGGTTTAGGGTTTAAGGTTTTAGGGATTTGGGGGTTTAGGGTTTCGGGATTTAGGGTTTGGGGTTAGGGGTTTGAGGTTTAGGGTTCAGGGTTTACGGTCAGCTGTACTACTGGCCACAAGTGTGTGAAAAGCTTGACTTCCTCGAGCTAGGGTTGTCATCAAATTGTGCATAGCCCTATGTACTTTATGCTTGCAAACGATGGTTCTTCTAGTATAGCAACGTGATGGAATAACCGCAGGTAGGTTTATCCTGAGTTGCTAGCGTTATGGAGGATCATTCAGGCTTTGGGTAACCATCCACACCAAACACCGCATTCAGGGTTTTAGGACTTCAGTACCTGTCAGTCGAGACTTCAGCGTGATACTGGTGTTGCTAATGAGCCTGGCCAAGTACCCTTCACCCTAAACCGATTGGATCTAGGGAAAGGTATCCAGGCTTTCCTCTGACCAGATCTCAGGGCGAAGGTATCCATAGCAGCCCTAACAGGGGCGTTCTATCCTGAGGAACTCCCACATCCCCACCTCTCTCCAAGGTCGGGATGAGTTTGCTCTGTGGTGGTCATCTCTCTATCGTGATTCGTATTCGGTTGCTGCTTCCATTGCTATTCATGATGATGAGTATTCTTAGTACATGGCTCAAAATATTTGTTTTAACATCACTGCGGGGCTTCCCAAACACGCTCCTCTAGAGTATTCCGCCCGAGTTTCCCCTGAACTGGCCTTGATTGACTATGAATAAGCCTGACCTTAAGGGCGCGCTACATGATGTTCTTAGAGAAGCCGTTATCTAGTTAATCTCTAACCCCTTATCTTCAATCCCTATGTTCCCTCCATAAACTCAGATTCCATTTCGTATTCCAGCTGCTTTGCCACTGATTCTCCATGAAAACAATATTGCCTTGGCCAGAATAATCCTACCCCCTACAACCTAAATCCTATAAAGCCTATACCCCAACACTCAAACCCCTAAATGACCAAAAAATCCCCTTGAAACCTAACACCTATATCCTAAACCCCAAACCCTAACTTAACCCTACAAACCCTAAAACGTAAGCCCTTAAAACCGACTCAGCTTCCTTGGCGGGGGTATCCATGGCCATGACCCGCTCCAAGTAAATCCTGGGTGGCTATTCAGGAACTTAACAGTTACCATAATGGGTGGGTATTTAGGGTTTAAGGTTTAGGGTACTTAGGGTTCAGGGTTTTAGGATTTAGGGTTTGAGATACCATAATTGGTATATATATATATATACAAATTGCGATGGTTTCCCCGATATAGTAATTAAACTAAGTTACCATAATTGGTGTGTATATACATACATATATATATATTGAACTTAATACTGTATGGTTTCCCCCAATATAGTAATTGAAATTCAAGTTCCTGAACAGCAACCCAGAATCTGTTCTCGGAAGCCCGAGGTCTGGCGTCGTGCCAGCTGAAACGCGTCCCCTCGGGTTGTACGAGTATCCCTATTGGGTTTGGGGTTTAGGGATTATGCAATTCCTTTTTGAGAAGCTCCCATATAGGCATGAGGAATTCAAGGTTTCAGCTTGAGGTTTAAGGGGAAAGATAATCCCCAAAAGGCTAACTGCATCATGTAGAAATACTGTCATGTGGCCAACTTAATCTATGCGTCCCCTCGGCCTGCGAACTTCACGCCGGCGATGAAGGGAGGTACTGCGGTCACAAGCAGCACGGCTACTGCCAGGGGCGAGAATCGCAGCAGCAAGGTGCCATACCTGGGAGTGTAGGGTTTACCATGGGGGCTTCTCAAAATGAGGGTACCACAGAAAACCCAAAGATATAACAGGCTGACAAGGGAATGAAAGGGTCTTTAGTGGTCGGCTGGTTCTGAAAATGACTCAGGCAAGTGCTCTCTGAGTCCTGTTCTCATGCCAACAGCCCTACCTTGCCCGACTGCATCCACAACAGTAACATTGTTTCAGGAGGGGTTGAGGCTTACGCTTTTTGTTTTGGCCAGTTTTTCGCAATGGCTTACACTTTAGGTGGCGTTGGTTCAATGTACGGCGCGGAGAAGTGGTCACAGGTGGCTTTCAATGAGGTACCGCCCTGGAGTAAATAGCCTGACCCCTTGCAGGACCTGTTGAGGTTGAGATGCCGACTGCGTTCCCTGTCCTGCTTAAAGTGGAAATTCTGCCAGTACATAGTAGCCCAAAGTATAAGCAGAGAGTAGTGAGGATTCGACTTACCTACAACGTGTCCAGTGCGGCTGCTCACTCAGTGAACGAAAGAACCCTGCTGTGCCTGCCCTGGGACCCTGGCTGGCACTTTTCTCGAGCTGATTCCTCTCACTGGGAGTTAGCAGGGAAGAAGGGAAAAAATCCCCATATAATCCCTACATATCATATCCCTTAAATCCTGGACTCTAAGCCACAGAAAAAATGATCCTGGCATATCTGATAATACTTCGCCCAACGTGTCCTAAGCTCTAAATTCCAAGAAGTAAGCCATAGTCTAAAGTCCTAGTATCCCGCTTCATAACACCTATGGTCCCCTATATAATCCCCTATATAACACCCTTTAAGGGGTTTAGACTATAGCTCAAGTAACTCAATGACCAAGCCACCCCACGAGCGCCAGGCTATTGCGGATCAAGCTCAGGGACTGCTGAGCCAGAGACAAAGGACGACGGCTCGCCTCTCCTTGGTGGGGTTTAGAGTTTAGACTTTTGCAAACTTTTTTTGGGTTGTGGAAAGCGCCCGTGAGAAGGTCATTTCTATTTTGAAAACTGTAAAACCTCTCAGTTTCTGCTTATCCTAATTTGTTGGGTTGGGATTTGAAGCATACGGGTCCTTAAGGATCTAAGGGCTAAGGCTTTGGGACTAAGGCACGCCTGGTTGGAGAGTATGTGAACTTCTCGGCGTTGGCTTTTGGGCAGGGCCTGTCAGGTGCTAAGTACACAAAACAGTCTAGGGTTTAGGGTTTAGGGTTGAAATTGTTGGTTTAGTGGTTTAAAAGGCAGCAATGGGAATAAAACCTTTTTTTTTCTGCTCAAGCTCACACTGCAAACGTATGGTTCCACGTATCACATGCGTTTCAAGAATTCTTCTACAGGACGTTTACTTTGTTCTGATGCACAGGTCGGCCTCAATTGAAGAAGCACACCCTGTTAGCAGCGCGTGCTTTCTCACGCCTTGTACCCTCTGCAGAGGTACAATCTGTACCTTCGCTGTATATCAACAACGGTAGTTTCTCAGTTCCTGCAGCCTGAAAGATTTGGGTATTTGTCAAAATGGGGGTCACCTAAAAGATACTGTAACATGTCTTCCTCAGCTTTCTTCATTCATGGTCCCTTTAGTGACCAAAAACTAAACAGTCAACAAAGGCTTTGAAGAGTAGGTCGTGGAGTACAGAGGTGATAGTCAGGAAGCATTCATGGTACATTTCGGGTTCGGAGTCCCTGAAACCTAAACCCCGAAACCCTAAACAGGATTTCAGAGTTGTACCCTGAGGTTGGTATGACCCCGTGGTTTTAGGATCCTTCTTAAGAATCCCCGGAGGTTCTATGGGTTTTACATGTTGAGGGAACCTTTTAGGGGTACAACCTCGGGGAAGCACTGAACAAGGCAATCATCTGCGGACAGCTGACCCCAACTCAGCCCTAAATCCTCATTGCATTGCTGCCTCTATACGCCCTGACCCCCAAACTTACAATAACATGGCTCAACCTTCACTACCCAAATTCCAAACGGCCTTTTGCCGCCAATTTTGGGAAACCCCGAAAACGTGACCTCTCTTTCGTGCCTCACCTAGATGCAAACCTATCCTTGTAACTACAGGGACCTCTATAAGAAGGGATACCTAGCTTTCGAAGAACCTCAACCCCCAGACCTGAGCCCTAAACCTGAAACTGTCAGCCGAACACCCTTAAACCATCGAATGAACCCAAAACCGTCAACCTTAAAACCTTCAACCCCCTTAACCCAAAACCTAATCCCTAAACTCCAGTAACGTGAGCAACCCTAACCCTTTTCCCTAAGCCCTAATTCCTAAAGTGCCCGGCATCTCCGGGCCCGAGTGAGCTTGTCGTAGAGCGCTGAGTCTTCGAAGTCTGTTAGCTGAAGCTCCAAGGCCTTCCTTTTTGTAGGGTTTAGGGTTTAGGGGTTCAGGGTTTAGGGGTTAGCGCTTTCGGGGTTTAGGGATGATTTAAGGTTTAAGGTTTAGGGTCTGGGCTTTTTTCTTGCAGGGGCATAGTAGGGAATAAGGGAACATATATGAGCTATAGGGTTTAGGGTTGTAGGGTTTAGGATTAAAAAGGTTCGTAGAGGCTAGGGCTATGTAGGGTTTATCCACCGAGCTTGAATTCTCAAAACATGTGCTCATGTACTCCCAGATGCCCCGGTGTGCCCGTGTATTCCCATGTGAAGAACCCATGATGCATCATGAACAAGTCCTTGCATCCCGAATGAAGGGGCCAAGAAACAGTTCCTCAAGTTCGGATCCCTGAGCCTATATGAACTTTTCCAAATGAGCTACTGTCTAAACTCCTAGTATCCCCCTTAATAACCCTTATAGTAGTCCCCTATATCATACCCTATATAACCCCCCTTTAAGGAGTTTAGACTATAGCTCAAATGAGGTACCCTAACAAATCCTGGGGATGCATGATTCTGAGGGTGTTTAGGGTTTAGGGTTTAGGGTTTAGGAAGTAGGGTTTAGGGTTTAGGGTTTAGGAAGTAGGTTCAAAACTGGCACTATGGATTAGTCCGATACAGTCCGATTGTTGCTGACATGAAATATCCTCGGTATTGGTTTGGAATATCCATATTGGCGTCTCTAACAAAACAAGGAACATGCTAGGTTCAGGATTTAGGGTTTAGGATATAGGGTTTAGGATATAGCGTGTAGGATTTTGGATTTTGGATACAAGGTTTGGGGTTGCCGTCAAGGAACTTAACTTAAGCCACCAAACATGGGTATAGCGTAAAAAGTAAGGTTTGCTTATTATAGCCACTTAATGTAAATTCTAGCCCAATTTTCTTACTGCTAATAGTGACCATAACGGGATGCTGGCAAGTATCTGAAGATCCGTATATATTGATGATCTACCGCTATTACCGGGTGGGGGCTCAACCCAAGTAATATTGAATATTCTCATTGTGGTGTACTATCGTATAGTGGGAGACGTCGACCGTAGTGCTCTCAAAGGTAGCTGTAATCTAAACTCCTAGTACACCCATTCATAACTCTTATAAATCTCCCCTATACAAATCCCCATAAAACCACCTTTTTAAGGAGTTTAGACTATAGTTCGTATAGCAACTGGGCATGAATAATTGGAGATTCGGATTTACGGTTTGCTAAATTTAATGCAATCCAGCTTCTCCAGAATCATGACATTGACCTTGGAATGGGTGTCAAAAAGCCATGGTCTTTAGTTCCAGGACCCGCTGCCCAGTTGGGATCTTATATCACGACTATCGTTCTCATGTCTGGTATCGATGTAGTCTATTTTCACTACATAACCTACACCCCTCGTGTCCTTCTTCTTGGTGCTGCTAGAAAGCATAGTCATGACACAGAATCGAGGGCGGGCCAAGGAAAGTTTATATCAGCGTAGAGAATCACACAGCGCTTCTGCCAAGTCACGTGCAACATCATTTCCTGCATCTACCCTAACTGTTTGAGCATCATCTCACTGGCTGAACTCTCTCGCCCCAATACCATAAAATGCACACTTTGCAAGTTCTGGGAGTCTATCTAAGTGACTGTTTGCTGTATTGGAGGAAAATACAACGGCCCATACTTTGACAAAGATGCAAAAGCAGGGACCTAATACACCAACCGAATGACAGCACATCAAACCACATGTCATCCCTAGACACCCTCCTTCCATCTACACATCATGATTCCCAACAGATTCCCCAGGACTTGCGTTCAGATCTGCTCTCTCTCTCTCTCTCTCTCTCTGTCTCTCTCTCTCTCTCGCTCTCTCTTCTTCTTCCTTCTTCTACAGGCTATACCTACCCCTTACCAGGTAGGTCAGGGTTGAACGCAGTGACCCAAACACGTCCGCACTGATCCAGCTGGTACTGGTGAGGACCGGAGTACTGCAAAGTTGGAGGCCAAACTCACTACCCGTCCCCATCTTCTTCTCCCGCGCCGGCTCTGTCTCTCTCTCTCTCTCTCTCTCGCTCTCTGTCTGTCTCTCCATGAATTAGACCTGCAAAACATCTACTTTCAGCTGCTTTTTGAACATCGCACTATCAAAGCACTCCAAAACTCTTTTCAGGACCCTCATAAAAACTGCGTAGCATGCAGCCACAAACCCCAACCTCTAAGTCAAAAACTATCTAAGGCCAAAACCCTTAACCCTTAGCTTTTCCGTTTTGTCCTTTAACCATAAACCCTCAGCGTTCATCCCAAACGCTAGGCCCCCAACCCTCACCCCGTTCTTTGCAGCTCATGTGAAGCGGTTAGAGATGGCAGAAAGGTCACTTTGTGAACAAAGTACAACCATACCTGAGGCACCTCCTCATTACTATGCGTAAACCTGCAAGATACCCCTGAATCCCCAAACCCTAAACCCCAAACCCCTGAAGCCCCAAACCCTGCACCGGGCCACCCGGTGGCCCAAAAGGGTGCCAAGGAAGGACTCCGCCACTTCCTGGGCCCGCCGCGTCGCCGCCAAGGACACCACCAAGGCCTTGAATGGGGGTGTTTAGGGTTAAGGGTTGTGGGGTTTAGGGTCTTATGGTTTTAGGTGTGGGGTTTGAGGTTTAAGGGTTTAGGGTTTTAGGGTTTGGGGTTTTAGGATTTGGGGTTTAGGGTCTGGGGTTTAGGGTTTGTTTTGGGTGGGGCTTACTTGAGGCTTCAGGGTGCGTATAGCCCAACTATAGCTGGTACTAACCCGACTATAACCCTGTGAGGGGACTGAGGGGTTGTAAGAGGGTTCTAGGCACAACGATATTTAGGCTTTTAATTGCCCCGTTCCTCCCTCCCAGTCGGGTCGAGGGAGGAGGGCTAAGGTATGGGGATAGTCTAGTTTTTGAATCCTGTCGGCCATTTTAGGGTCTAGCAAATATGTTCGGGGGTCTTGCTACCCAGTCAACAGACCTTGCAAAGCGGAATCATCCGGTACACACCTCTCGCTCACTCCCACTATCATCAATCATGACCTCACTCCGCCAGGCATTTTTTTCTTTTCCCTCCTCTTGATGTACGACTAAGTCTTGGCCTTGCTCATCCACCTGACATCCCTCCATTTATCCACTCTCCTCCTCCTTCTCCTCCTGCGCAGCCCTGGGTCAAAGTCCCGGACAGCAGGTTTAGGGCTACGGGTTTAGGGTTTAGGGAGTTGCATTGGGGTTATATGGGATAATGGAAAATGAAATGGAAACTACTATGTAGGGTTTAGGGTTTTAGGGTTTGGGTCAGTCAGCCACGGAGTCAAAAGATTGAAGTTTTACATTATCAAGCTCCACGTTGTCTGGAGGTTAAACGTTTAAAGCGTATGAAGCTGCGTGGTTAATGCCAGGGGGTCAAGGTTTTTTGAGCTTAGCGTTGTGCGCTTACCTACCTTTGGTTAGCTAGGAATCAAGGAATGGATCACTATAGCCGTCCCTAGATAACCCAAAATAGTCGTTTCCATTTTCTTTTCCATTCCTTTATTCCTAAGCCCTAAACCCTAGGCCTATATAACCCATTATGGCTAACCAAAGGTAAGTTTAGGCTACAGGCAAGTCAGAGTTCCCGCGCTTGTCTTGGGGATCATTGCTGAGGTCTAGGAGCATGGCTTTTTGCCCTCCCCAATCATAAAAGAGAAGTCGGTCGTCTTTGTACCGCCCTTTTTGGGCTTCCCTGCTGGTTTGGGGTGGGCGTGTAAGCCCTAACCTCTAAATTGCGTGGTAGCCTTTCTTCAAAGGCATTAGTATCACCTTCTTTTTTGGAATCGTCGCGTAGAAGTCGACAATGCCCCTCACTGGAGCCACCATGGAACCAACCAAGCAAGGCACTGTAAAGAATATCGTATTTGAACAAGGACGCACCTTATGTCTCTTTAGGGGCTGAACCTGTTGCCGGGAGTCCTTACGCAAGCATTTTCTGGCATTCTGTTTGGGGCCTCACTTCTCGGAAGCTACCAGCTGGCTATGTTTTCCCCTAAACCCTTGAGCTATGGCCAACATCGTCCAAGCATCTGCTTCCACGGAAAGCCACACCACGGCCTCAAAACTTGAAGTCAATGGCTACGGCCTTGACTTTGGTTAGCTAGGAATGAAGGGATGGATCCTTATAGTAATCCCCATATAACCCAGTATAGTGTAGTTGCCATTTTCTTTTCCATTCCTCCATTCCCAGCGCTTACCAAAGGTAAGAGGCTCATGGTTCAGAGCTCACATGTCCAGGGCCATGGATGATAGAGCTTGGGGCTTGGGAAAGGAGAGATTAGGAATAATAAAGGGCCTTTAGATTGCTTGCCAATTTCAGTCCCTCATGTCTGGGTTTCTCGATGTGTGAGGCCCGTGTTGGAACCCCCTGGTCTACGCTTGGGGAAACAACTGCTGTTTACTCTCCTAAGCCTTCGGCGGGAACGTTGGAAAGCTATTTAGAAAGCAGACCTGAACTCAAACCCCTTAACCCGCAAATGCCTCAAAATCCTTCTTGCCTCTAAACCCTTATCATCTTCCTTTAGGCCCCTAAATGGGAGTTTCCCAAAAATTAGGGGTACCTTTTTGGGGGTCCCCATAATACGGATCATGGTATTTTGGGGCCCTAAAACCCTAAACCCCTAAACCCCTAAATCAAGCAAGCAGCAGGGTGGGAGCTTCCGGAGGAGATCCCGGAGACCACAGCGTCGATGACCCGCTTCGTTGTGGCGGCCCGCAGCCCAGGTAAGGCTCCCATGACCTGGGAGTTTAGGGGATTTAGGGTTTAGGGTTTAGGGGATTTAGGGTTTAGGGGGGTTAGGGTTTAGGGTTTAGGGTTTAGGGGATTTAGGGTTTAGGGTTTAGGGGGTTAGGGTTTAGGGTTTAGGGGGTTTAGGGGATTTAAGTTGGGTACTGCCCCCCACCCAGTAACAGTCTGTATTAGGGGTTCTACTAAGGGCTATATATACCCATAGTATAATTATTATCCAACTGTTACTGAGGGGGGGCAGTACCCAAGATTTAATATAGGGATAATACAACAGCATATAGGGTTATATAGGGATAATGGAAAACAAAATGGAAAGTGCAGGGATTATAGAGTTTAAGGCTTTAAGGATTTACTTACCTCCGGTTCATGTAGACCCACATTAATAAACCTCGTCCTTTGAAGGGCCTTAATATTGGGATCCCTTTATGATCCCTATTATGGGGAGGGGGTCTATTAATCAAAGGTCTACATTAGCAGGGAATGACGGGATGAAAAGAAAATGGAAACTACATGAACATTGGGGACTATATACAGTATGGAAACTCTGCAGTCATTGCTAACCAACGCTAAGGATTTAGGGATTTCAGGTATTAAGTTTAAGGGCTGCAGCGTTCGGGCTTTGAAGTTTTTAGGCTGTAGGAGATTGAGGCTTAAGGTTGTAGATTAGGCTGTACGGCTAAGGAGTGGGCCAACAGCCTTGGAGCTATGTGTGGTGCAGTGAATAAAGATGATTTTTGAAGAAACCAATCTGGCTGTATCGGACGAACAGTCTGAGCCCCCAAAATGAAGGGGGAAAAGGGTGCCACTGGGGTACCTAGTATATAACCCCCAATACTCGGAGCTGGCAGCTTCCCTAAAAAGGGAGAGGGTTTAGGGTTTAGGGACCCCAATATAGACCCCAAAATACTGTAGTTCTTATTCTTGGGACCCTCCAAAAGGTACCCATATTTTTGGGAAACCTCCATACAAGCCCAATATACCGGCCTTTGGTTAGCTAGGAATGAAGGAAGGAAAGGATCCTTATAGTAATCCCCGTACAACCCGTTACAGTAGTCTCCATTTTCTTTTCCATTCCTCCATTCCCAGCTAACCAAAGGCTAGTAAACCTTAACGGCTAAACCTTGAACCTTAAACCCGAAACCCTAAACCTTAAAACCCCTATAGGAGCCCCGTTAATTGGTTAATAACCCCTATAATACTCCCCTACATACTCCCCATATAACCCCCTTACAAGGAGTATAGACTATAGCACATCTAACCCCTGTTATTTCGGGCTGGCAGCTAGAGTCAGGAAGGCCAAGCCAAAGGTCAGCGGACGGCTGGTCAGCCAAACCAGCTGCAGGGCACGACGCGTGCAGTCGAAGAGGCCAGAAACCCGCTCCACGATGCCCGCCTTATTGGGTTAAGGGTTTAAGGTTCAGGGTTGAGGGTTTATGGTTTACTGGCCTTTAGCTAACTGGGAATGGAGAGATGGAAAAGAACATGGAAGCTCAGCTTTGTGGCTTTCGCCGGTTTGGCTGGTGGCATGGCAGCAGCCATGGCTGGATTCCATCGTGTCACCAGAGGCCGTTGTCGAACTTTCTTCTGACAGCATGCTAACCACCCAGCCGCTAAAAAAGCTGTTGCCACCGGTGCAGGAGGCCAACGGACAGAGCTGGGTCCTTACTGCGACCTTACTAAAACAATGTCTGTTCCAAAGGGGGGCCCCAGAAATAAACACTTTTCAACAAAAAAGGTTTGTAGTCTTGAATAACATGTAAAACTCAATAATGACCCAGGGAACCGGAGCTTGCAAAGTTTGAGGTTGTGGGCCTTGCCGACATGCGCTGTCGTGGCAGTGTTTTGGCCCTCGCGATTGGAATCGCCACATGGGGCTCCATGCTCGCAGCTAGAGATGAGTTGGGCTGTTCTATTACCTGCCGCTCTACAAGGCGTTCTAGGCGCACGGCATGTGTCCGTGCATTCTGGCAACCTAGAGCTCATGATGGCTAATGGCCCGGCCACAACATATCTGGCTTGTCTAGAATACACTTACTGACATGCTATAACATACTATAAAATACTATAACTTCGCACTATATATTATGATATCCTGATAATAAACTAATCTTGTTGACTTGCTCAAAGCTAAAGCAAAAGCTTTGGCTTCCAAACCTATTGCTATGCAGGTTATTTTCATGATTGCGTATGTGGCACCTTGCGCTTACCCCAAACCCTATATACCCTATGTATACCCAGTATGGCAATTTAATTAGAGGTGCAAACGCGGGATCCTCCTTTTAGTTCTCCATTTAAGAATGTGCAGTTGGCTCGCTTGAGCCTGGCGAGCATGTGATGTGGGCATCTGATGTTCCAAGTTAGCACCATGCAAGTGGCTACTGCCGGCTTCGAGTTGTGGCTGAGGGTCGAAAATTGGAATCGACAGGGTCTGCCACCCTCAGCCCTAAACCCTATAGTAGTTTCCATTTTCTTTTCCATTATCCATATATAACCCTTATATATACCCTAGGTCTGCTAAACATGGGTTTTCCCCCGCTCGGTCTTGAACAAATGTTCACACCAGCCACAACTTTCACAGGATGAAAATGCTGCGTGCGACTTTACTGGCTTCCAAGTTCCGGTTGGGGCAAACCCTTGGCCCTTGGCTCTGCCCACCACCTCCCCTAAACCCTAAACCCTAAACCGCGTTAGGGTTTAGGGACCTGTTTCTGAAATTCCCTCCTAAGTCTCTGATGGTGGCCCAAAAGAGGAGGGCTAATCCTCATAAACTCCTGGGTGTTTGAGGGACCCGTGAGCAGTCCTTGCTCTGTGCAACGCTGAAGCACGAATAGTTCCCAAGCAAAGAACTTTTGTAACGTGGGAACATTGCTCTTTGTCTGGAATAGTGATGGTAGGGAGGAGGTAATGTAGTCTAAACGCAAGCCCTGACTTATTGCACAAGTCTGAGTGGAATATGCTCATCAAAGGCCCGATTCATTCTATGTAGGCCCCACATTCCACCCTAAAATCAACTAAACCGTCCTCCAAAAGACGCTTGTACATGTAGTTCTCCACGACCCACCAGGGAGCAGTATGCCAACCTTCTCCTGAGTTTTTTGCAAGTGAAGAACCTCCCCTAAACCAACCCCACCCAGCTCCCGGCAACATTGGTCTAATAATATAATAGTTTCCATTTTCCATTATCTCTATATATCCCTATATAACCGCTTTCATGCAGCAGTTTGCAGTGTCTTTTCCATTATCCCAATTTAGCCCCTATGAGGGTATAACAGTTTCCATTTTTTCCATTATCCCTTTACAACCCTATATAACCCCTCTACTAATTATAGTAGTTTCCATTTTCTTTTCCATTAAGAACCTCCCCTAAACTACCTAAACCCTAAACCATATATAATCCATTCTAGTAATTTCCATTTTCTTTTCCATTATCCCCAGTAGCTTTTGTAGGGCTTATCATCTCTCACGGCTCAGAGCCCTGCGCCTGGGACCTCCCTGAATCCAAAGCACATGCTGTATACCTTTACCCAGACCCCTGGGATTTAGGGTTTAGGGCTTAGGGTTTGGGGTTACCCCTGGGATTTAGGGCTTAGGGTTTAGGGTTTTAGGTTTAGGGGACCTAGAAAGAGGAACCCCCGATATGGTACCCTATACTACTATTGGCTAATTTCCAAGACCCTAAACCCTAAACAGTCCCTAAACTACTTTCTAGCACGAGGTTTGGCTAGGCTTGCCGCCATAGAGCTTGTTGGGGATTAGGGCATATACTGGGTTGCTGTGAAGGCATCTAAATTAAGCTGCCATAATGGGTGTGTGTATATATAGATATATAATAGTCAATAGGCTTTCCCCAGTACTAAGTATAACTAAATTCAGTTGCCCTAATGGGTATAAATATATTGGGTACTGCCCCCACCCAGTGACAATTTATAATAGGGGATACATAACGGGCTGTATATAACTATAATACTAATATTATCAAGCTGTTGCTGGGTGGGCAGGACCCAAGATATAAAGTAGTGAATAGGGTTTCCCCGGTATAGCAGCTTAAGTTGAATTCCTTATCAGCAACCCAGTATAGGTGGGTTGTCGACATCATCATCCCTTGTGGGGTTCCCAACATCAAGCAGCCCCTAATATGTACGGTAGAGTACCACCACAAAGCCACTGTGATTGAAACATACACCCAGCTGTATCCGAACACGAAGGCCGACCATTGCCCCAAAGAGGCTTAGGCGGAAACATATCTGCTCTCAAAGTTAGGGATCCAAACCAAGCAGTAGTTTAAACGCCTCAGCTTTAACCTTCAATCATTAACCCTCAACCCACAAAAAACCCAAACCCCTTAAGCCATAGGCCCTAAGCCCCTAAACGTCCCCAACCCCAAAAACCCCAAATGCAGCGAAGTTTCCGCGCTCGATGAACTCACTGAGGTGCTCATTCCACCCGTCGGCTCCCACCCGGGCGCTGCCACTCGCCAAGGGTCGCAGTTGAGCTCCGTCCCTGATTATTGGGGTTATATTGGGATAATGGAAAAGAAAATGGAAACTACTATAATGGGTTATATAGGGATTTAGGGAGTTGAGGGTCTAGGGTGTAGAGTTCAGGGCTGAGTATGTCACTGTAACTTCGTTTTTTTCTTGAGAGCTTGGGTTGAGGTGTAGGGCATTTAGCTTAGCGGTTAAAGTTTCGAGTTTAGGGTTCGGGTGTTAGATGGTTTGCCAAAAAGGGGTATCGAATGATTTAGAGACCCGACTGCTGAAACATACAAAAAACAAGGCAAGAGGACACCGGAATTCGGTTTGTTTCTTGAAAGCTGAGGTTCCAGGGTTGAGGGTTCAATTTCTCTGCCTAGGGACAAAAGGCTGGGCTCAGATAGAGTTTCAAACCCTAAACCCTAAACCCTAACCTAAACCCTTAACCCCAAACCTTACCCTAGCCCTAAACCCTAAACCTTAAACCCTAAACCTGAACCCTCAGCACACATTGGGTTGTCGAAGTTATGCCTCCCCCGCTTCTGGGCACAAATGAAGGTTTCCCAAAGTTAGGGGTACCATTTTGGTATTGCGGGTCCCCCTATTTTGGGAAACTACCAACTATTACGGGCGACATTCTACTATAGCCCCGCAAGGGGAGCATACCTTTGCCAACCTGCCAAATGGGTCTGTGGAACAAATAGGACTTGGAGTGCGCTGCTTGGCCTCATGCGAGATGGTTTACGGCTACTATAGGAAAAATCAAGAACCCTAAGCCCTAACCAAGTCTGCATAGCAGCTCTACGTCTTCAGGCACGCTGACAATTGAATTGCGGGGATCCTGTGAGGGCTTGGGAGCTTTGCGTTTAGGGTTTCTGCAGGAAAGACTGAGTCCCAAGAAGTCCCACTAAATTTGCATGCAAAAGCGCGGACCCATACTAGGCCCTGTGAGTTTAGGGTTTGGCCTTTAGGGTCTATATAACCCCTATAGTAACATAGTAGTTTCCATTTTCTTTTCCATTATCCCAATATTAACCCAATGTTACCCAATATTATCCCAAATTAACCCAATACTACCCAACATTTTTGGCCAAGACTGCTTCCACCTGTAACCCGCTTCGGTCGCTCCAACTGCAATGTTATATTAGGGTTCTATTGGGGGTTTCATTGGGGTTATATTGGGTTAATGGAAAATAAAATGGAAACTACTTTTTAGGGTTTAGGGTAACCGGCGCCTGAACGACTGAAACCTGAACCACTCAGCCCTTGAACCCAAAGCCAAACACGTAGCCGCTCAACAAAACCAATGCAACATCCCGGACCCAGGCCACAAACCCAACTTGCCCCGTTAGGAGCCTGAATTATCAGAATAAATCTTTGGGCATATGATGCTATAACTAAGCAAGGATTACTGAGTAAGGGTTATGAAAGGCTAGGACTACACACTGCTCACGCTTCCACGTTCAGCCGTGGAGGCCCAACGGCGTTAGGGTGCGAATCTTCAGTCCATAGCTCAAGCGCCTTAAGCCCAACCACCCCAACCCCCAAACCTTATACCTCGAACCCCTAAACTCCAACACTCAATGACTTACCAGAACCCTAGTTAGCTTCCACTTTTCAATTTGCTTTCTACTAGATTCTCCATGTTAGTATGGCAAATTCCCTCAAACCCGCATAATCCCCTATATACTCCCCAAATTGTAAGCTCTAAACCCTAATCCCTACAGTCATGAGGCCTCATCTCGTCTTGGAGCGCTTGGATGTTCTGCTCAAAGCTTTCAGTCTTCAGGGCTTCCGGCATTCCCTTGACCACAGACCTGAATGTGAGGTTTAGGGTTCAGGGTTTCGGATTTGGGGTGGACGAGGCGTGGAGGGTGTGGGTTTAGGGATTGCAGGGCATAGAGATTGTGGTGCAGACTTAACACGAGGATTTCAGCCTCGGGGGTGTCAGTGCCTCGGTTGCGCCGACGGGGCTTTAGTTGCAGCCAGTGTCCAGGATAGACGCGTTCAGAGTAACTGCCTTTGTTTTTTGTAAGCATTACCGTCGGATTTGCTGAAGTATCTGGTAATTGGGCGTTTGAACCTTCTGCTGCGCTGAATCTGCAGAAGGCTGGGGCAAGATGTACAAAGCAATGCAGGAGTACCAATGAAGATATCTAAGATCCGTATATGGCATACACTGACGCCACCATCTACTATATCCCATGGGCTGTGCAGGGCCGGGTACAGAAGTCTTACAGCCACTGCATCAACCGAAAATGAGTTGTAGCTTCATTCAGGTGCCATAACAGACCTGACAGAACCCAATGTTCTGAATCCTAAACCCTACCCGCTGGCAACTTCCGCACTCCAATCAATTTCCTACATCCCACTAAAAAATTAACCCTCT